TAAAGTAGATATAAGCCTCGTATATTTAGCTTTGAGTGGGTACAACAGTCCTTGACTGTCCGACATGAAGACAAATTTACTGCCTTGCCAGCAGCAAGATACTGTTTTTGAATCGCATCCCTCAGCTCGAATAAATACACTGCTATTTGTCGAATGAAGGAAACTTTTTGATCTTCAAGAGCCATTTGGAACTTGAAAGCTCAAACTGTAGTAGTTTTTCCACCTGCTAACTTTCAGGTCCTAAAACAGATCGAGCAACGATGGTGAATAATACATCACAGGTGGGCATCAAGGAAGTGGCTTCAAGTGATGGACGCAACATCGAGTTTAGCACCAGTGCAACTGCTGTGCCGAAATTCATGAAGCTGAGCGATGAAGTGGTCAAATATCTCACGGATGGAAGCAGTATCATTGCCGACAAATTCGCAAACAGCAAAAGATCCAAGAGCACTGAAGCAGATGCAGAAAATGGCAATCTCAGGAGGAGCGAGACAAACATCGGAGCAATGCAAATGTCAGAAGGGGAAAACTATGCAGAAAATAATTCGGTTGACGAAGACGAGCGAGTAGTTGGAGAAACAACAACGCAGGACGATGGAAATGTTCGAGACGAGAATGGTGCGATTATAACTGATCCAAGAATGGCATACTTTAAAAAATTTGAAAAATTTTTCGATTTTCTACAAACAACCATTAAAAAAGTTGCCAAAATTGTAAAGGAAGGCCAGGAAAACAACAAAGAAAGGATGAAAAGTCTTGTAAAAGACATTAACATCATCTGGAGACCGAATGCTACCATGGATAGCACAACGAATAGCGGGCTTAGCGGGCTGTTAACAAACTTTGGACTTAAAGAACCGGAAATCGGTGGAACAGTGGCATCGCAAAGCATTGCTGTGAACGAGCCCAGAAATGCCAGTAAAACGGTTACAATTTTGTCAGCTGCTGGGCAGGCAATTTTGCCCGAAAAGCCAAGTGAGAACGGCATGGGCAATACAACGACCCAGTCATTGAAGCACCAAACAAAAAATTACAACAATGACACATTGGGATCTTCTCAGAGAACTGCGACTGTCCAATCACAACGGAGTGAGACGAACAAACTGCGTTTCGGATCCGATGAAGACCTTGCATTTCAAAAAGATCGAGAAGCA